ACTTTCTACATGTTTATTTTGTCTTTATATAATTTGAACAAATAATATATAATATATGCAACAGTACATATGGCTATTTTTATTGAGCAAAATGTCAACCTTCAATAAAATAATTTCTTTGTTTTGACTAATAATCAGTACACATGGCTCAATTGGGAATTATGCATCCAATATCAAAGTTTTCCAGTAAAAAAATGATTAGATACATCTAATAACAAAATGTCAAGTTTGGCCTATAAGTTCAAACAAAATAATTTATTCCCATCACCTACAGGTCACTTTTAAATACATCTGACATGCAGTTGAAGCTTCATCCCAAGTGGAGTTTTGTTGTTTCTATTTACTTTTGTTTCTTTTATCTAAGTTCAACAGATTGCTGTTGTTTAGTTATCTTGTGGTCATTGCTTGCTTCCCTTTTCATTTCAAGCCAGGCCTTTTCCAAGCATGTTGGTATTGAGAAGTTGATGCCCAATATTTCTTTTTGATGCAATAAGTACTCTTTCATTTGGTAAACCAGGCTGTAAAAACAAATTTTATTTTGCATAGGACCCCTGTGATTGGTCTCTATCTAGCTGCCATGGTATTCAATATTTGCTCAACGCCTTGTTTTAATGGATATAAACATAGATAGATGCATACATAATGTTTAATTATAGTTTTATTTCCCTCCAAAGGGAAACCATAACTATGGCGGAAGGTTGAGCAATGAGTAGCGAGCACAGAACTGTTTAGTTTTCAAAGACACGGATGGATCGAAGGAGTATTAGTACGGTTACATCCTTTAGAAATTTTAAATTCTCGTATAGTTTAATTTTTTAATGTATTTTTCATCGATGATCTAATTTTACATCCTGAAATCTCATACCCTGACATAAAATCACACATCTATCCATATTCAAAGTGTTGGTGTTGTTCGATTGGAGTCCTAATTGCTTGCAGTTGAAGCCTCTTAAAACTAAACTAAAAACTGTTACGTTATGTCCAACCACCACCTCAACCATCAGAGGAGTTAAGACCGGCTAATTTCCCTGTCATTTATCAGGTATAGTTATCTGAATTGGCTTGATGAATGGTGAATTGCTGGTGTTGGTTGATTTTCAGCCACCCTATCAGATTCAGGTTTTTCTTAATGTTAAAAACAAATAATAAACAAGTTGTTGTCATTTATGGGTAATCTGCACCCATTACAACTTAACTATAGAGAGATTCTATTTTGACCATTTATATTTCAATTTTATCAATCATACCACTTAATTATTTAATACATGACAATTAAAAAATTAGTATATTTACATGTTTCGTTCTCATTGCATACACATTCAATTAAGTTGGTCTCGACTTTAATATAATTCAATAAACTTAATTATTCAATCAAATAATGATATGTGTCACCTCATGATTACATGTTTTTTTCTTAATTTTAATTTATTTAATAAATTTTTCTTTAAAGTTATAATATTATGTCGTGTTATTGATCGATACGAATATTTTTTATAATATTTTAAAATGAATATTTAATTTTTTTATTTTTTAAATATTAAAAATGAAATTAAAAATAAAAAACTTTTGAAGGTTAATCTTACTAATATGTCTTAATAGAGATTCTTTTAAAAGAACATGCTGTGTCAATTTATGACTGACTCGACATATTCACATCAAATTTTGTGACAAAAGTGACTAAAGTGGTTGGCGACAAAAATATTTTATGCAATAAATTGAGATAAAAATAATAATAATTTGTATGTCGTTGAGAAATTAAGTATAATCAATTGTCAAACATTCAATTAACTTTATTCAAAAATTAATGTTGTTAATCTTAAGGGTTATTGTGTAGCATTTTTAAAGTTTTAGAGGAGTCATTTGATCAAACTTACCAAGTTCAAGAGGTAATATTACACCCAAAAGTCATGCTAGGAGTTCTAGTGAATTTTCTAAACATTGTTTGATAAAAATCATCATATCAACATATTTTGCATGCGACCTTCCTACAAAGTAGATGGTTAATCTCAAACCTTAGAACAATTAAACATATAACGTATGCAACATTTTGTAAATGTACTCGCATTCTTATCAATGGACTCCAAACATAAAATTGAGTCTCCAAGGCTTCAATATTGAGCTTTAGCATTTCCTCTTGAGGTTCCAACACCAATTTTCTCGTTGGAAGACACAAACTTTTAAAATAAAATTACAAAAATGAACATCTCTTCTTCGTTCGAATCTATGTCTCAAGTTCACAACCTTCATCGGTCACCACTTGTACTAGAACACCCACCCACGTAAATATCGGATGATTAGTTATATTTTCTCGCTAATTTTTGTCTAGAACCTTGCCTAGTAATTTTAAAAATGATCGATCAAGATAACGATAATTTTTTTTCCGAGAAATAAGCCACGATACCATTTTCTTTAAATTTTTAGCGACGAATAACTAAAGTAGAATGAAAACGTAATATTGGTGACCTAATTGATAATTTCTTATTTAATGGTTAAAATATAATCAATTTTATAATTTAATGATTAAACAAATAGTTTATCCAAAATAAAAAAAAATTATAAATAATCAACCCCTACTATAAATGTGATCCCGTTAGAGAGATTGAGAAGATTATTTGTTGGGACACGTGTGCAAGATCATCAAAATCAATTTGAGGTTATTTGAGGTCCGCAATGTTCGTTTATTGAGACACATAGGCTTGGTCATTAAAATCAATTTGAAGTTAGTTGAGGTATATATATTATATTTTCAAAAAACTATTACTTTAAAAATTATTTAGTTAAAAATAATACTTAATGTCCAAATTATATTTTTTTCGGAATAAGTGTCTATAGTATTTTTTAGACCATCCAGTGTCTAACGTTACAAAATTAACCATTTTAGATGTCCGGGACGTCTTGGTATTTAGTTTTTTTGTTAAGTGACATGTGTCACAATTTAATAATTTTAAAATTTATTTTTTAAAAAATATTAAAAATATTATTATATTTATAAAAAAAACCGTAATTTTTTTAAATTACAAAAGAACCTCAAAATCCCTAAAATCCTAACACTAACAGTCGCCGCCACCGCCCTTTCTGTCCATGACCACCGTCATCGACATAGTCTCTACAATCATCCTAATTATACGTCGACGAAGTTGTCGCCAATTGACAGTCGAAATCGCGTGGGATCACGATTTTCATCCTAAAGTTCTCGTGGTATAAAACGCCGATTCGACGTCAATCGGTCATGATTTCATAGGATTTTTGGTCGTCGGGGGAGGTGAGGTCGGGTGGAACTTTACCGACGGCAAAAGGTGACGGGTGGCGTAAGATTAAAGGTTGAAATGAAGATTTTCAAAGTTTTGGAGTTATTTCGAAATTTATGTATTTTCTTTTTAAAAATATATATTTTTTAATTTTATATAAAATTTTTAAAAATGTTATATTATGACACGTGTTACTTAATGGAGGAAATTAATGATGTTGACGGCCCGAGCACCTAAAGTGGTAACGTTAGACACATGGTTGGTCCAAAACATACTGTAGGCACTTATTCGGGAAAAAGAGTATAGTTTGGGCACTTATTTGGATATTAAGCCTAAAACTAAATATTTTTTTGAACTAATCATTGGTATTCAATTAATTGACCGACTAATTCAGATTTAGTTTTGCAAAGGTTCATTATGAGTCGACCTTCCGAAGTCCCAACCCAATTTCTTAAATTCGTAAACGTTAAGATTCGAACTCATGACCTTTCTTAAAAAATCTAGTACATCTTCCCACTAGATCAATTGGTTGTCTGTAAAAATAGAACTTATTAAGTTAATGTTAGTAAACTCTATTTTTTAAATATTTTTATAAATTTTAAAACTTTCAGTATATTTATTTATATTTTTACGGTTAATAACATGTTGAATATAGTCAAACTAAAATTGGTAAAGTTGGTCTCAAAATTTATCCAATATTTAATTTCATAGTTGTTAATGGAATAAATAGGTTCTGACGATTGTACAAGATTCAACCCCTCTTAATTTAATTAGGCAGATAGTTGTAATCGATGAACATATAATCATTGATTCAGAGGCGGTGGAGAGGTTGTTTGGGATACCCCGGATACCATGGAGGTCCATCCCTTGATGAGGGGTTGTCCGGGATATCCTGAGCTCCATGGAGGTCCGCCCATGCATTGATTGGTGTTAAAGTCTACTATATTTATAAAGAGATTGAAAAGAAAATAAGTGGAGAGTTCCAAATCCTTCTCACGGTTTTAATCGAAAGATTTTGTAATAACTCTTATTGATCGGATGATAATAAATTTAATTTTGATGAGTCACATAAACAGGTTAGAAGTCTAGTCAAAATGTCATGATTTTTTAAAATTATCAGACATTTGAAGTTTTGCCGAGAAATTCTTGCTTCAGAGACGTTCTTTCGGAATTCTCTAAAATTCCTGAAGTGTGGAGATAAACCCTATGGAGTAACTTTTAAAAAGATACAAGAATAGTAAAAAAAAAACAAATACCCTTCTCCCTGCCCCATTCTTACCTTTTTATCTAATTTTTTTACACAAGTTTTCTTTATTAAATTATCTTAAACTTTGTTTGTTTTAATATTAAATTTTATAAAAATAAAAGACAATAACAACAAATAAAAAATCAAATCAAATCAAATGATCATAATATTTTATAATTATATTTTGAATATAACTCCTTTTGTTTACGTTATTTTTCTTTTATTTAATGTCACTCGTAATACTTTGTACGAAATGTTTTAAAATTTCGATTGCATAAAGAAAACAGCGATGGACCAGGAAGTGGGTGGCCATAGTTGATTGGAACAACACTTCAATCCACATGGTAAATGATAATGTGGATTCAAATATTTTCTGTTGCATTGAATTAAGCCAACTACCAACGCCCAACGCTGTCGTATTTCTCAGTTTATTTCCGCAACCCTTCTCCCATCTTCCCGGCTATAAAAACCCTCGAGCATTAACCAGTAACCACACAACGGTAAGCAATCAGCATTAGCACTTTCCCTACAAGTTGTATAAGATCGTTTGGTTTTGTTGTAATTAATCAATATGGCTAGCTCTATGTCCCTTAAGCTTGCATGTTTGGTGGTGTTGTGCTTGGTTGTGGGTGCACCCCTGGCTCGAGCCATAACTTGTGGTCAAGTCACATCCACCCTCGGACCCTGCATTCCTTACTTGAAGAGTCCAGGTGGTGCTGTTCCACCAGCTTGCTGCAGTGGGATCAAAACCCTCAACGGAGCCGCCCAAACAACACCAGACCGCCAAGCAGCTTGCAACTGCATCAAAAGTGCGGCTGCCAGCATACCCGGCATCAACGTGGGCCTTGCAGCTGGACTCCCAGGCAAGTGCGGCGTCAGCATCCTTTACCAGATCAGCCCCAGCACCGACTGCAAAAGGTTCGCATGGCTCAAATTTCTTGTATAATATTCAGTGAATTATTTAGTAACGGTTATCAATTTGTTAACTGATGAATGTTTTATTTTTGCTGTTCCATTTGCAGCATCAAGTGAAAGCTTGGCCATGGAAATTCGTCGGCTAATGGAACGGAAAATAATGGAATTTACAGAATAAAAATGGATGTTAAAAATCCATAGGGATAGCACTTTTAGTTGAAGTAATACTCATGTAACGTTGTTCGTTGTGTACTAGGACACTTTATGCGACTATATAATATTATCTTTTATTATTAATATATATGTTTCTTATATATAAATATTGTTTATATACGCTTTATTTGCTTTACTTCAAGTATTTTATATAATTATATTTACGTGATCTAATGATAACGAAAGTTATTATTGTTAATGTTTCGTTAAACTTATCACTGGAGGTGGATTTAAGTACATCAGTCATTAGTAGTTCACTTTTAATAGGTGGATTATTATCATGTGTTGATGCTTCAAAAGTATTGTTCAGATCTATCACAAGTTTTTACATCTGAATTGAGCTCAATTTAACGTTTGATGTAAAGACTTGCCCTAATCCTTACCTTCGACCATGTCAGTGTCCAACTACCACTGACTAATATCCTCAAATCCACCTCCAATGACCTTCTGCCTAATTAGGGATGGGCACATAACCGAACTAGACGAGTTTTGATCCGATCTGACCGAGACAGATTTTTTTTTAAAAAAATCTTAAATTCGGGACAGGTCGGATTCATATTTAGGGTGAAAAATATTTAACCCGAAAAAAAAATATACTTTTATCTTATATATTTAAGTATATTATATTTAGGGATAATTATAATAATATACCTCTATATATTATTTCTTTCAATTAAATTCATATTTTTATTAAATAAAAATAATATTTTTTAATAAAAAATATTATTTCGGATCATGTCGGGTAGGGTTCAGATTTTATCTTAAAAAATTCAGGTCATGTCAGATAGAGAGTATATTTTTTGAATCGGATCGACTCAAGTGGAAAATATATATATTTTGGATTAAGTCAGGTTGACCTAAAACCCGACCGATGCCCATCTTTACCCTAATCAGAAAAGATGAACAACAATCAAACATCACCAATCTCCCTTTCTCTAATTGTACATCAACAATAATAATCCAAAATTATTGTTTAGAAAAAATGAAAAATATATTAAAAAGAATAGAAAACTATATATACCAAAACAAAGACGGGTATGATCCAAGACCTGATGAAAAAGTTCAATTTTTAAAAATACTATATAAAAAACTGGGTTTTTGTTCTCTATCTATTAGCAGTTCATAACAAGCTTGTTTCACTGACCGATTATCAACTCAATCACTTACCCAAAAATAATTAAATGATAAAATAGTGTTCATCAACTCAACTTGAATCTTTTACTCGAGTCGACTCAATCCGGTCGAATAATCACACCTACCAATCACTATTACAGAAAAATGAATAAAAGCATTAGGGTAAATATTTCCTATCTAAATAGTGATTAGTATGTCTCATTCATTACAAGCCCCTCTAGTCGAGACACCAAATCATTAGCGGAATAAATCTGCATTTTCATTCATCTGTTTTCCAATTTTAAAGCCTCTATTTCTTTCCTCAATTCTATATTTTCAGCTTCCAATATCTTATTTCTCTTCATCAATTCAACTTCCTGTCAAATAAGTTATATATCCATGTCATTTAAAGTAAATCTGAACGAAAACAAAAAATAGATTAAAGTTGCAGACTGATGGAAAACTTACATTGCCACTTGCAAATTTATCCGAATTATGGCACTCTGATGATGGCTCCACACATTCCATATGTAATCCGGAAACGCATGGCATTGATGGAAAAGCCATGGCCTCTCCTCGCACTTCTGGTAAATTTTGCCGTGTTGACTGATTCAAGTTAACCTCTTGTCCATTTTGTACTTCTACTTTACCGGCACAAGTACTACTCTCTCCGGATTCTAGACAACGTCCAACAACCTTTACCATGTAATAACTTCTATTAAGTGATTATTCAAGAGCACAACTAAGCAAGGAGATAATAACTTATTCACCTTGCATAACTCTGAAACAGGCGCAATTGATGGAAACTCCATAGCCTCTGTTTCCACTTCTGGTATATATTTAGATGGTGTTGACTGCTTCAAATGGACCTCTTGTCCCTTTTGTAGTTGTACTTCATTGGTGTTAGTCACATTTGATTCTAGGTGAAGAAGACCAACAACGTTTAACAGTAATGAACTACACAATCAACTAATTGTTCAAGTGTTGGAGCACGACTAAGCAAGAAACTAACACGAACTAGTGAACTGCATTTACATAAAGAGTGCAATCCATTTTTTTACATGAATAAAAAAAGGGATAACTTCAAAAATAACCTCAATATTTATTAAAATGATCATTTTGGCCCATATTCTTTTTTCTTGGAGCATTGTAGCCCCCAACATTCACTTTGGGGCAAAAAGTTCCCTCTATAAATGAAAACTATTAGTTAATACACTATTACCGTTCCAAAATATGAGTCTTTTTTAACCTAAAACCAAACATTGAGGGTTAAAATGCCCCTAAAAAAAGAATAAGGGACAAAGTGATTATTATGTCAAATGTTATGGTCATTTTTATCATAAAAATGAAACATTGGGGGCCAAAATGCTAAAAAAAATAGAATATGAGGCAAAATGACATTTTAATAAACGTTGGAGGCTAATTGGCATTATGCCAATAAGAAAAAAAAACAATTTTGGACTAAATATTTGATTTAAAAAAATCTTCTTATTCTTTAAAAATTAATTTTCAGCTTTTGTTAAAAAAATTATTTAAGAAAAAAATGATTTGCTGAATTTAGGGAGAATTTTTTACAAATGGTTTTATTATATTAAAATAGAAAAAATTAACAATTCCTATACAGGGGAGCAAAAGGAAATTTTACTCTAAATGGATATTGTACCCACAACATAGAGAAGAGAAAATATATCAACTGAGAGCTTTTAACCATCTACTCTATAGATTGTTAACAAAAAAATTAGAGTTAACACAATTTGATTTTAATATAATAAATAAAAAGTAAACTAAATATAATAATTTTCCAAGTGAAAATATATTTTCAGATGTTCTTAAATGATTTTCTAAAAATATATTATGGCCAAAAATATTTTTATATACTCTCAATTGGTTTTATAAAAGTAACTTTTTAATTCTTAATTTTAAGTGTTGAGGACTATAAGTTTGATATCAAAATCCTAGTTGAATTGCAAATATTTTTAAGACAATAAATTTTAAGTTTCAATATCAGATTTTGAGTCTTTAGACTCATTTATGCAATCTCAAGACTCATTTATGCAATCTCAAGACTCGAGCTTAAAAGTCTCGTGATCATAATTTAGTCGCAAGACATAAGTTTTTTTGATGTTTTCTTTTTTTAGTTTCAAGAGTCAATCTCGAGACTCTTGAGACTCATTTATGCAATATGAAGACTCAATTTTAAAAGTCTCATGATCATTATTTAGTCACAAGACATAAGTTCTTTTTATGTTTGTTTTTTGGCTAAAGGGTCACTGTTGCCCCTGTAGTAAACCAAATTTATCAATTTCGCCCCTATTGTATTTTCACATCAATTTAGCCCTTGAAGTTTTTTAATTGTATCATTTTATATCGTTGACCATTTTGAGAAACATAACTAATAGTTTCTACTGATGTGGACACCAGTTATTTCCAATTCAGATAAAATTGTTGACGTGGCCACTTGATGTTGTGACATTAATGAAAAATAATAATAATTTTATTTTTAATATTAACTAACCTATTATGGGTCTACAAATTTCTAACTTAAAACTAATCCATTAACATTTTCTCTTCATCCATCATCGTCTTCTAGGTGGTATGGGTTTTCATTTGTTCTTTTTCTCTTTTTTTATTTTGTTTTTGAAATCGAAAATCCCTTCATATTTCTTTTGATTCCTTCACCCATTGTCATTTTTTAAGGGAAAATGCTGGTTTGTTTGAAATTTGTAATTGCAAATCATAAACCCTAAATTTCATTCCTTCACATTTATTTTTCACGATTTAGAAAATGGTATTATTGTTGTTTGTTGTAGAGGTTTTGAAAGTTTATTGCTTTTAATATGGCATCATCATTGTGCTTGTCGTCTGGAGGTCGTAGGAGTAACTCATCTTCTGGAGGTCGTCGGAGTAACTCGTCGTCTAGAGGTCTAAGAGTGAAGTGTGTTCGGCAATAAATTAGGGGTACAATCGTGAAGATATCTTCTGTCACTGTGGTTTGAAATGTTCGATATGGACTGCATGAAAGAATGCTCAAAATTTAGGAAGAATATTTTTTAGCTGCCCAAATTTTAGGACAAATGATTGTGGGTTTTTTTCGATGGTGTGATGAACCACTGTCAGAAAGAGCTTGGTTTTTCATTTATGAGTTGAAAAAGAGAATGATGCATTGAAGAGTAGGTTGAATGTAAAAGATAAATATGATTCCATTGAAGCAAGTTCAACCGAGAGAAAATAAATGTAGAAACAAATTGATATGGCAAATGAGAAAACTTATTGTTATATGATGAAAAAGATATGTACTTCAAAGGGATGATAATATCTTGGATAATATGTGTGATGTTGGTAATTTGTATCACATTTCACTGAAATTTAATGATAATGAAACTTTCTACATGTTTATTTTGTCTTTATATAATTTGAACAAATAATATATAATATATGCAACAGTACATATGGCTATTTTTATTGAGCAAAATGTCAACCTTCAATAAAATAATTTCTTTGTTTTGACTAATAATCAGTACACATGGCTCAATTGGAAATTATGCATCCAATATCAAAGTTTTCCAGTAAAAAAATGATTAGATACATCTAATAACAAAATGTCAAGTTTGGCCTATAAGTTCAAACAAAATAATTTATTCCCATCACCTACAGGTCACTTTTAAATACATCTGACATGCAGTTGAAGCTTCATCCCAAGTAGAGTTTTGTTGTTTCTATTTGCTTTTGTTTCTTTTATCTAAGTTCAACAGATTGTTGTTGTTTAGTTGTCTTGTGGTCATTGCTTGCTTCCCTTTTCATTTCAAGCCAAGCCTTTTCCAAGCATGTTGGTATTGAGAAGTTGATGCCCAATATTTCTTTTTGATGCAATAAGTACTCTTTCATTTGGTAAACCAGGCTGTAAAAACAAATTTTAAAAATCATATGTGATTCAATATCTATAGATATAAAACATAATGAATAAAATAACTCGTATTTAAAATTTCCTCTCTAGTTCTTAAGTTTGTGTATAATCCATACCAACCACTTTGTTTCTTTTGTTGTATGTAACAGTGTGTTTATCTTTGTCCATCAAATTTCTTTTCATTCTTCTAGTTGTTGAACCATTGTTGTTAGCCTAACATGAAATAAATGTGAAAAGTTGTGATTATATATTGAAAAAGGTTTACTGGACAAACTTCTTTGTCCAATTTACACAATAAATAAATGTGAAAAGTTATTATACCTAACGGTTTACTGGAAGATGTTGTGACTATATAACTAGTCTCATTCTAGTCCAGTGGTAGTTCATCCATCATTGATAATGGTATCCTAAATTTGAAAAAAAAATAGATGATACTGTTAATTGTAAGTAATTAAGATTCGTTTTATACCTGACAGTTTGCTGGAAGAGTCTATGAAAATTGGCATGTCTCATCACAGTTCTAGTGGAAGTTGATCCCTCATTTGAAATTCCATCCTAAATGTGAAAAATAATATGTTAGAGGTGTTAAAGATTCTTATAAAAAATTCCAAGTCTAATCCATTTACTTGCCCAACAATTTGTTTGGAGACCTTTTTAGTATAATTGACCTTCCTATGGCCCATTTGCATACAAATGCTACATGTTATTTGCAGTCTAAGTGTACTCCACTTTCCAAATTTGTTCTTAACAAGCTCATCCTTACTCTTTGTCCTTTTCTTTTTTAGTCTTCTTAGCTTAGGTTTCAATTTAGGGGGTTAAATTGGATCATCCAATCTTTTTTTCTAGAATTTTCTCCCCTAACTGGCTGTAGGATTGGATTGTAACTTGTTGTATATTTTTCCTTGTTGTACCATTCAGAAATGTATGTGTGAGGGTCATTCGACTCATGGTACATTGCACATATAACATGGCAGCATAGAATTCCAGATAGCTCCCATTCCTTGTAGGTACATGTCTGGTTTCTCAAATCCATTGTGTGTTGATCTTCACCATGAGTCACCTCAAATCCTCCCTCACCATTCCAAACCATATTACACTCAGTGTATTTGTTCATATGCCTATCAAATTTCTCTGTAACCTTGGGTGAAATATTTGTTGGCCACTTATCTTTCCAAATTCTCTTAACATGCATTCTTTGCATAACTATTTTTCTGATTTTTTCAAGCATGCTGATAATAGGATAACATATTGCCTCAACAATCCATCCATTGAAGGCTTTTTCCATGTTGTTGTCGACTGCATCACATTTGGACATTCCTAGGAAATATGTACGACTTCAATGATATGCAGGAACAACCATAATATCATTAGTACAGTTCTTACCAATTTGTTCAAGCTTATCATCAAAATCTTCAACATAAGTCGATCTTACACAGTTCCAAAACTATATCTTCCTATTAACTGTAACACCCCCAACCCGTATACCAACCCGGATACGAGTCAGAGATATTACATTGACTTTTAAAACACCACACATTACAAATAATAGTAAAATACTTGAACTTATATTACGAAAATACAATAATATACATATGGTACTATAAGTTTACTAAAATATTCAGAGCATACACAACTTAACTTTTTAATTACATGCCAACATCCATTTTCTTAACAAAATGACCTACTGATTAAGTTGCTTCTGATCTGATGGTTGCAGGAGTAATGCTGTCAAGCTGCTTAACCTGTCTCGTCTACTTTCTCGGATCCTACGTGTGAAACACTCACACGCTAAGTCATCGACTTAGTGAGGCAATGTAATAATAATAACAAGGCAAGGTAATGAAAATGTCATAATGATATGAAATGAGATGAAAGCTTATACTTAATCAAGGTAGTTTACATCACCATTATCCTTACCTGTAAGCATATTACTTTAACATTCATGAATTTGTATTAATGAGTTTATTGGCCCATGATATCATATTGAGAACCTAAGGTATCTGAGTATTGTGAGGTTGTGCACTATGCTGTCACCACAGCTCGTATAAATGCACCGAAGTGCCGCGTAGAATTGCACTATAGTGCCATATAATAATGTCCATAAGGACCACATAGAATT